TTTCTTCCATTTGTCATATGTCATATATCAGGTGATATCAACTGGGTAAGGTTTCCATGACAATATTTATCTGTCTTGACTGATAATAAGCCCACCCATATCCAATGGTGTATAGCAGAATTACCAACAAATACTTTTTATTTTCTTGAAACAATGGATATCATTATGGTATACCCCCCTTGTCCATCCATAACTTATCCTCGTTAGTGCTGTCTTACCTTTATGTATAGACTGATGTGTTCTTCACATGACTTCATATTTTACAATTTTGGAATGAGTTTTTGCCCTTTGTTTTCTCTCAACATTAAGTCATATCTTCATCTCTCTCTCAATATTTGATTTTTTTTTTTTTTTTTTGAAACATGGTAGACTTAAAAAAATGAGATTGTTATTCTGAATAACATTTTGATTCAACAATATTCATAAAATGTAAAACTGACTTTTGGTCTTTTCAGCATTTTTATCTTGCCTTGAGATTTCTTTCAGTTTTCCACCCATCTCTTTAAAACTTGATGTGCTTTAATATATCATAAAAACATAGCACTGTTTCTCATCCGACATTTTGACTTCTTACAAATTGTCTTACCATTTCCAAATTTGTATTCTTTTCTATACAGCAAATCCTGAACATCTCTTGGACATGGGATGGGCTTATAATGTTCTGCCCACCAATCACTTGTGTCTTTATGTGCTTGGTGACAAAAAAAATCCAAAAACCCAGGAAAACGCAACAGGTGTCTTTTCTATAGTGTAGGTCAAATATTAGTTATCTATTTACCAAGAAAAATGCAGGATAACAATGATATAGCTGAAGCCATTAAAACATAACAGTAATGAAAACAATTTTCAATAAATGAAAAAACCTTCTATTGAAAGGAAAGTAATTGGAAATAACAACAGGTAATGATTCACATTCACTGATTCAGACATAAGCTTTATTTTATTTATTGGTAATTTATTCAGATAGTAATTCAGTACAAACATTTCAATGAATTGAATTTGACCAAAAGAGATGGTTTGTTACATTAGTACACAAATGGAAATAACTCTTAGAAAAAGTTTAAAATTATGGAACAATGCTGCAATGAATGGCAAGTCGTATTAATTAAAACGTTGTGTAGAAAAATAACAAACCAACAAGCATTCCATCATTTGGTATCAAAGAGAGAAGTGGGCACAATACAGTTGTAATCTATATTACGTACATGTCTTCTCCCTGATGATGAGTATGGCAACCAGTAGAATAAATGTAATTCGTAATTTTACCAAAGTGTAACAATGGCATATATATTTCTCTGTAATAAGTTTAGCCTGTGACAAGGAGGCAGCTTTGATTTATTTTTTTCAAATAGTATATATTTGGGGACATACGTTTGAACCAGTAATTAAGTGATCTACTAGTAAATAAATACGTATTACATATGGCAAGCCGTTTTAACATTTAATCCTATTTCCTCTTACACGCTTCCACGAAATGAAATCCGTTAGAAATATGGTACTTGTCATACTATTGTGATTTTCTTTAACTGAATCTGACTGTAATAAATGTTGCAATTTTTGTATTTCTCAAATAAATTATGAAAATATGAGAAATATTAAAAATATAATGCCGTTCCTTGATGGTATTTTTAATGCCGGCATACCTAAAGTTTTCTCTCTTTTTTTGTAAGATTTCGAATGCATAAGATGGAAATTAACACTTGTTACTGTAATCGGGGGGAAACCACAATTACAACTGAACACGGTAAATCTTGCATAACTAGCTTGTTATTGAAGTCACCGGAGTTCAGTAATAGCTTTTCGTCAGAAAACAGAATGGAAAGATAATCCTTAAATAATTACACGGTACATGCTATATAACCAGCGTGATTTAAAAAATGAGAAAATGCCGTCACTGGCATTGGCAGTTGTCATCCGTCCTAGCTGCCCCTATTTACCCGTCAGGGGGTGCAAAATATACAGCTATTGACTTGTAACCACGTGGTATTAACTATCGATATTTGACACAGTGTCATAGTAACTGTACATACTAACCAATCGGTACCACACTCTATTGGCAGGCCCCCGTGGAAAATGGCGCGAGAAAAGAGTGCTGATTTACGTGTATTTCCTGTCGGTCTGACAGGGTATTGCTGTGTGTTACGTAAACGGTTAGTCAACCCGTCACGTCTCGCGCAGTTCGACAACGGATCACAGGGATCCATTAGTGACCACTATTCAATTATCTATACAGTCTCGCTGACATGTCTTTGTGAAAATTATGCCTAGGAAATTATTAATTGGTTGTATTCCGATAAATAATTAGTCATGTTACACAAGAGGTCTAACTACTACTGGCTACTGTCAGTAGTCATGTGTCATGTAATATGGACTCTTTAAAGTGGAATTAGATCAGGGACCAGGTATTTTACGTCGAAATTGGCGAATTAGAAAAAATGGGTTTAACAAGTGGAAATTCGTGAATCACAACTGAGCGAATTAGAAAAGAATTGCGAAACAAAAATGGTTGTTTTTGGTGTGATAGTTTTCTCGTAGTAAGACGTAAATTTAGTAAAGTGTTGATATATCAGGAAAGATTATTATATAGTTTGCGTAATATAGGAAGTAGTAATTGCTGGTACATCCCTTTATCAACATGTAAAACCTTTGTGAGCAGATGAAGTTTGCTAGAGGTGTGTAACCTCAATTTCATTGTTGGCGTTTCCAATGACAATTAAAAACACACTAAAACATCGCCCTGTGGGCATGGGACCGTTTATCTGTCTCATCTACAATACCATTTTACCTCTTTCATTATCTCATCACTTCCTGGAACTTTTCATCAAACTTACGAAACAAATGGTCATGCATATTTGAACAGTTTTTTCTACACTCTCGAATATCAAAATATTATAACAAAGCATTTTATTATTAAATCTTACTTCCTCTCCAGCTAATATAAACGCCTACTGGTAATTAATTTTACGTCAATGAGATTGTTTTTATCTTTCACGGAAGGGTTTATGTCACCAGAATGATAAAGAATTCCACTTAGGCATGACGTTATTTATCATAAGAAGGATTTTCCGCTTGCGTGGCATCGCGGACATCGCTATGATCTAAATCCATGATGTAATTTTTGAAATATGAAAAGCTGTAGTGAACATGCTTCTTTCTGTAGAATTGAATTAGATGTCACTGAATGAAAATCTGTTCCACATAGAAATTGTCGGACACTTAAAAATAATATATAAGAAATAATAAAGAATTTTGGTAAAGGATCTTATAAACGAAATATCTACACGGGAACGCCATGCGTTAACGTTTCAAGTTTTATACCTCATTTTGACCACAAATACATCTATTTCAATTTCTCCTAATAATCTAATATGGTCGCCATCTTGAATAAAATGAACACGTTTTAACCTTCTAAAGTTCGACCGGCGTCATTGATCTGAAATTTTGTAGGAATTTTGAGAAACTTAAATGAGGTGTGTTTTTAACCGGCTGATGAAATATTTCGAACTGTTTCAACATTTAATAACTATTCCTACTACTACTACTGCCGCTGTTGTATCTTGTACAAGTCGTTATATTCACGTGACCACTTAATAAGTCCCATGTGCCTCTTGTTTTTATTGATTTCTCCGTGAAGAAGCTTTGCACATGAATACCTTTTTTCCCTGCAAAGTAGTTAAGTTTAGAATGGTAATTTGCCGTTTTACATCCTTAATGACTACTAACCACACCGGTTGGTTGGTTTACAGGTTTTCCGTCTCCGCGACTCCTCTGGGCATCGTCTCGCCCATAAACGTCAGTGTTCTGGCGACGTGAGGGGGGCGACTATCATCCTTCTCAGAAGGGTGGAACCGTCTGTCGCGACGTTGTGTTTGATTATGCTAGGTTTAGAAAACGGCTGATCCTAACTCTAGCAGTTTGATACTTCTCCAGAAGTGGCCATGAATGATAAGGGGTCTACATAGATTTGATTTATGTCAGGGTAACTTTGAAGTCCGTTAAATACCTTTAAAACATTCATGGCCTAACGCCTACCCTCCACCCTACAAGGACTGGCGTTATCACGCTTGTTTTTTTTTTCCGGAAGCCACAGAGGGATCAGTCCGTTGGACATTGGTTAGTGATTACATCGATGCAGGTCTTATTATGATAAACACTTTTTTCCATCCTGAATATTTTCCTACCATTCGACCATTTGACCACTTTGCTAATGCCCATTGCTTTCTGATAACCCACTCCATTAACCTATCGCGGTCACCCGTTTGTCCGGCGACGTGCGTCCGTGAACGTTTTAGGTTACCTGAGACAGTCTAAGGGTGACTTATTGCGACCACTTTTTGTTCGGCGTTGTGTGTTGTAAACTTTTAACATTTTCGACTTCTCCTGGAAAACTCTTTAACCAATTTTGATGAAATTTTACAAAAACCTTCGATGGCTAATGGCGCAAATTGAAAATTATATGGTCTCCACCCCGAGAGGCCTGAAGGGCAGGGCTTAAAAGGGTAAAAAAGGTCTTTGAAACTTCAAAAATCTCAAATCCCAGATATGGTAGAATCAAGTGCTCTTCGTTGATGGAAAGACTTTCAGATGCTCTACTAAAATTGTAAATTTCATGACCCCAGGGTTTCACATTTCCCCCTGGGGAGAGGGTAAAGTTTACTATAGTTTATATAATTACGTTTTTGAACCTTATTTGTTTATTTTCTATTGGAAATAGTTCAAACCTGGTTAGAATTATTGATATAAGATGACAGTTTAACGAGATGAACATATTGACCTTGACTGACCCCCAGGGGCTGATGGGCGGGACCAATAAAGGGTCAATTGAGTGAAATTTCAAAGATGTTCTTGGATGAAAGTGTTTTAAAGTGCTTTACCAAAATGGATTTCACATTTCTTGCTAGGGAGGAGGTCAACTTTTTAATAATAATTTTCACAGAAAATTGCATTTTTAGCGTACCGTTGTTTATTTCCCAGTGGAAATAACTTTATACGCGCTATTA